TAAACTAATAATAATAATAAACAATAATTGTTCGTTTATATCATATTTAATTTTAAACAAAACTACATTATCCAAAAACTTACTCTAACCAACAAAATTCTCAACACTTAATGATTACCAAAAAGCCACGATAATTCAAACGAACCCCCCCTCCCCATCTCTCGACAGAATTACTAAACTCTTTCAACAAACTCGTCGACATTTAGCATAGCAAACTACACGATTACGAGAAAATCACCGAAACTCGAGACGTTATTATAATCACCGATATATTTTCAACGTTGGAAAAATTCCATTTCCCATTCGATATTTCGTGGATCGATCGTCGAATAGGATAGGGGGGAGGGGAACAGGTGTAAGAGGTGGCTGGAACGAATTAGAAGGCCATATCCCGCTGACAAAAGCCACGAGGGAGGAAAGGAAAGGGTGAGGTTCGTTAAATCGAGTCGATTCCATAATTCATAAAGGCTGGGTTTCTTTTATTCATCGTACGGCTCTATCCATCGGGTGGATGTGACCGATGCGAATTACCCAACTCTGTCCTCTTTCCATCATGGCGCGCAACCGGCTTACGTCCATTCCAGTCAACAAGTGATACCTATCGATCCTCCTTCTTCCTTGTCTCTTTTGCTGCCACCTCGATTCACGTTTCTTCTTCCTCTTTTTCTCCTCTCCCTCGATTCGTCTTCTCGTCGTCTCGAGACCACGATTTCCTCCATTTCTCTTCCTTCCAATCCTCGACCAAGTTATATACATCCACGTATTTCTTTTCTCTCTCTCTTTTCGTTTTTCGTTTTCGATGGTTGATACGCGTTTCATACGCGTTGAAATTTTTCTGTTGCATTCTGCTGCGAATTCGTGGCGTTCTTGGGATTTAAGATGTGGGGAAGGGAACGTAAATTCGAATAAAAATTCTCTTTGTTTCTGTTATATAGCAAGTTTCTTGTATATTGTCCTCGTTAGATGATAGATTCATAATTTATCGAAAATTGTACTCTGGCTCGTATTTCTATACGTTTAATTTTGTCTAAATTTGAGGAAGAAAAAGTAAGAAATTTCGCTATCTCGAGAATTTTCTAATTCGAAAAATAAAAGAATTATCTCGTGTCTATTCCTATTTTATTAAAAATTATGATGAGATATTTTTTAGAGAATTTTTTTTCTTAAAAAGAAACGGAAATGGCGAGATTATTTTTCGAAAAATGTTTGCTCAACTCGTGAATTCGAAATTAAGGGAGGGATATTTGACCTTTCATGGGTCGGCAGAAAGATAATCGATAATTTCATAAATCTTGGACGAGGGAGGCGTGACATTTCGGTGGAAATTTAATGGCAAAGGCAATGGAAGGCTGAAGGAAAGTTCAACTGCGCCACGAGATCGCGAAAACGCGTAGATTCGGGACACGATGCGTCCATGTGCGGCTTCTCGGATCGATATTTGCCACTATTATTTCCTTCTTTCCTTCCATTTGTCTCAAGTTTATTAGATTTTCGAACTGCCAGAAATTTTAATAATTCTTTGATCGAAATTTTGACTTTAAATATTTCTACTTCTATTTCCAATTCGATAAGAATACACGAATTACAAAATTTATCGTAGAAAATCTAATACTCGAAAACTCGTGTATAAAAATCTATCGATAGAAAATACAGAGGGATAATACAAAGATTCTGGAGAAAATTGCGTCTAAATGTTTCCAATTCCTAATAAAAATACATAGAAACATCGCATTAAAATCCCATTAAAATCCAATTCTATCCGAACGGGAGAATACAAAATTCTTTCTATATTAAAAAAACTGCAATTTCTTTTCAATTCATCGTCGCAACGAACGTTGTACTAAGATCGAATTTGTCGCGAAAGAAAATTAAATTGAATTAAATTAAATTCGAAAAAAAAAAATAAATAAATAAATAAATTCCACAATTTCTTCCCTTTCGATTTCGTTCACAAATGACGAAAGAATCCATCGAAACTCTCTTTTCGAACTCCTCGACAAAGTTTATCTAACGACAACCGATAGTTCTTGTCAGTCGTAGAAAAATTATCTCGATTCATCGAAACCATCACCACCATCCTTCCTCGTCGATAAAAATTCCCATAATAACGGCCGTTTCCAACATCCTTCTTCGATCTTGATCCTTATTGGAATCGGTGGAGGATATCAAAGAAGATAGGCTTCTCTTATTCTCTCCTCCCCTCCCCCCAATCGCTTCGAGGATCATTCGAAAGGTGGTGAGAGGGTGGTGTCTTCTTCCCTCTTCCCCGATATCTCTTCCATTTTCATTAAATTCTTCGCCCGCTTTCAGACGCGGTGTCGAGCCGTGCGTGACAACCGAGATCTCTTTTCGTACACGAAAGGTGTAAAAAAGGTGTTCGAACCGACCACCCGAAATCTCGAAATTACCTCTCAGAATTTTTTGGGAACGAGAAATTTTTTTTCTTCTTGCGAGTTTTTTTTTTTTTTAAAAGTACAACGAATTTCGTTTTACTTCGACACTTGTGAAACGAGTATTCCATCTTAATTATGTAATTGAATTGATTTCGAAAAGGAATATTTGCGAATTTTGTTATAGAAATTTGTTTATAATTTTTTTTTTTTGAATTTTTATAGAAAATTTAGAAAAATTATAAACAATATTGTGCAATATCGTTGCATCTGATACTCGTTTCTTCTCGTAACGCGTTTTTTATTTATAACTTTCGCAATGGCCACGATAATTAATTTATAATTATTTGAAAATTAAATAATTTATTAAATAATTCGATAATACGACTTACTTTCGACGAGGAGAGAGAAACACGTCCGTTCCGCTCGGTGTTTGGAACACGACTCCGTACGAAATCGATATTTTGATTATCAATGTCGACCGTTTGTTGTCGTTTCATTTTGCCTCGACTCGTAATAACATTAATACTTACGTTTAAATTTAATATTCACACGCGAATTTAAAATTATCGAAATTAGAAGTATCCTTACAATTTTTTACGATCGAGTGAAAAAATCAACATCGATTTTACGAAATCCACGCAATTTTTAATAATCATAATTGTAAAAAAAGCGAAAAAAAAAAACAAAAAAAATCGAATTCGACCGATTCTCGTTGATCCTCGATGATTTTTTTCAATTTTTTAAACATCACGACGAAATCCATTTTCCAATTTTCACGATATAGGAAAATATTTATCGAGTCTTATATTTTTATATCATGCAAAATCTAATATGGAAAAATGGAGAATCGCGAATATACGTTTTTTTTTATCGTATATAATCGTTAAATAAATCGTTAAATAAATAATCGTTGTATATAGCTAGTGTGGCTAATGTAGTAAATAGAGATAGGTTTGATATTTTTGATGGAAGATTGCATTTCGTCGAAACACTTCCCGAAAATTTCCAACTTCCGTCAACACTGGTGCGATCGTTTGTTTGCGTTTCGAACTAGCGTCCATAAACAGTCCGTGGCGCATCCCATACGGCGCCAACTTTTTCGCTCGATCTTCGCTCGATATTTATAGGGAAGTTGACCCCAACCGTTCGGCCAGTTACTATTTATTACACTCGGTTTAACGAGCGTAATACGCGACTCGATACTTCGTCGATCGCGATCCATCTTCGATTCGCGCGCGGATCTTTAAGATCTCAGTTTTCAACGATTGGAAATGGGGCGCGAAAAATTTATCGCGCAATTTCCATTTATTTTCGCATCGTAAGGAATTATTTTGTACGTGTCGCATTTTCGAAAAATATAGATCTCCTTCCGAAAATTTCGAATACATACGCCGGTTTTTCTTTTTGACCATCTTCTCCAAATGCAATTTCGAAGGAAATTATTTTAAGGATATCTTCGATTCGATTTGACCTATGAATTATAAAAAAATACATATATTATTCACATATTATAAACTCCATGTTTCAAGTTTCGAAATTAATGAGTTGATCGATTCATTTCATATTGAAATTTTTACATTTCTAAAAGATGATTACATTTCAATACGGTAAATTTCTAGAAAGAATATATCCATATTATTTAAATATTTCGAAATCAAAATCACAACTCTTCTTGAGATTAAAAGAATTTTTAATTCTCCAAAATTTCGAAAATTAAACCTCTAAAATTCCGCGTAAAAATTCATATCGATTCTGAATTCTGCATCGACGCAATTTCTCGACGTCCTTTTCCGCGACAAAGAAAACAGGCTGAAAGGAAATCGCTTTCAGAGTTTCACCATGAACACCAATACCGGTTTTAATTGATCCCCCCTCCCCAACAAAGTAACACGTTTCACGCTTGGAGACGTCGATTTTCGCTTGCGCCAGGCCTCACTTGACATTAATTAAGCCCGATTCCACCACGATCGGACCATTGCTTTGTATCGCGAGGAGGAATGTCTCTTCGTTGACCCTAATGAACGTCGTGATCGAGTAAACTGCCACGGATGCAAATGATACTCCCCTCGTGTATCGATCGCGTATCGCCCCTCCGAATATCCAACCCTTCCGTCCTCCCTTCCGTCCTTCCAATCCTCACGAATTCTCCGTGTGAAACGTTTGCCCGCGAAACCGCGTTTCTTTCGTTAGAGAGAGAGAGAGAGAGAGAGAGAGAGAGAGAGAGAGAGAGAGAGAGAGAGAGAGTTGGAATTTTGAAATTTCTCTTGAACGAATGATTGGAATATTAACGCTACGTCGAAATTGTAAAATTATATTATCGATGATTCGATGATCTTAGAAAAATTCATGGTTTTTGTCTTCGATCGCCCCTCCGAATATCCAACCCTTCCATCCTCCCTTCGAATCCTCACGAATTCTCCGTGTGAAACGTTTGCCCACGAAACCGCGCTTCTTTCGTTAGAGAGAGAGAGAGAGAAATGGAATTTCGAAATTTCTCTTGAACGAATGATTGGAATATTAACGCTACGTCGAAATTATAAAATTATATTATCGATGATTCGATGATCTTAAAAAAATTTATGGTTTTTGTCTTCGTTTCTGTTACAGTGAGATTACACGACAGCATACAGGAGGAGAACTATCATTACCTCGTTTTTGACCTGTAAGTAAAATTTGGAAATATTAATTATTGCACAGGGAAGAGAATTATTATATAAATTTATATATAATCAATTAATCAGGTCTATGGAATATATTGAATTTCGTGTTTAGTGATATTTTTATATAAAAAAAAAAAAAGTTTAAAATTTGATACTACGAAAATGAAATATGATATTGAAGAGCACGTGTGGATATCTTTTTCCAATATTTCTTTTTCAAATATTCTATCGAGAATTATTTATTTATTAAAGATTTTCATATCATCGCTTGTTTCTTTTCTTTAAAATTTCATATTATATATTGTTTATTATTTAAAATAATTCTAATACAAGTTTTTTTTAATAAATAATCTTTCTTCTCTTCAAAAAATTTTTGCCCGAATTAAAAGTAATTTTTAACCGATTTTTATCGACAAAATTCTGAACATGTGATTATACATTTCGAGGGAGCAAAGTTACATCAATGTCTTCGTATTCCCCTCCCCTCCCTTTCTTCCCTCTTTCTCGCGATTCTGCCCGATAATTGTTAATTTGTCCCAGTCATCCGGCCAATTATTCGAACAGTCCCCCATCCAGTGAATTTAAATCACTCTTGATTTGCATATTAATGAGCTCGCATGGTCGCGAGGTATCGATGTTCCATAGTGGAAAGTATCACCGTTTTATAGAGCGTTTAATTGCAACCTCGATTGATATTCAATTACTCGAAGCTCGAGAATCCTTCGAGTTTTCGTTCCTCTTTAAATATTAAATATTTAATATCACGATTAAATTTCCATTCACAAATTCTCTATTTCTCAAAATTCATTTCAACAAAAATTTCCAATTTCCAATTTTTTTCTCCTTTTCTAAAAATTTCTTCCAATCCAAAAAAAAAAAAAAAAGGAAAAAGATTAAGAAAGAAAATGTTTTGAAGAAAATTCCTCTCAGAAAATCGTCTCAAACGATTCTCGATTTCCTTGATTTCCAGCGTGACCGGCGGCGAACTGTTCGAGGATATCGTGGCGCGAGAATTCTACAGCGAAGCGGACGCGTCTCACTGTATCCAACAAATCCTGGAAAGCGTACACCACTGCCACCACAATGGAGTTGTGCACAGGGACCTGAAAGTACGTAGAGAAACGAATGTTACACGGATGAACTAGAGAGCGCCATGCTTGAGAGGGTCCAGTACACCGGGAACGCAAAGGTTCAGTGTGTTTAACCGAACATTTTCAGATAAACGTTTATTAGGGATCGTTGATCGAATGGAACGAGGGGGTTAAAAAAAATAAAAAAAAAAAAAAAAAAAAGAAAAAAATTGAAGGAAGGTAAAAGAAATGTAATGGATAGGGAAATGTTCCGAGTCTTCTTCTTCTTCTTTTTTTTTTTTTTTCACATTGATATAATAATCTTCGTTTGAATTATTATTCGACGAACATTGGGCAACAAATTTTCGACCAAATGCAAAGATATACTTTGAAAGTATATTTCATCACTTTTTTTTTTTAAATAGTCTTTTTTTAATAGTCTGAATTGTAAGAATTATTATTTTAAAAAATATTGTCATAAGAAGTTGTTGCATTTCGTGTTTTGTTATATTACAATCTAGAGACTACGAAATTCAACATTTGATATTATCGCATAATTTATCGTATATTCGTAATAATTGAATACACAACAATTTATCTCGTGGCCGAAAATTTTATGCCAATTAATATTTCTTCCAAAAAAAAAAAANAAAAAAAAAAAGAAAAAATTCATCGCTCGAGCTTTTTCAAATTTCGCGCCAAATCAGTCCCCACCACCTCTTCTTATAAATAAAATTCGACGCAAACGAATGACAAATTTCCTAAAGCGTGAAAAAATTTGAGATCGTGGGAATAAGATTAATTCGACCGAGAGACGAAAGGAAAGGAAACGAGAAAGAAAACGAGAGAGAAAAAAAAAAAAAGAAAGAAAGAAACGCGAGACCCCGGCCGTACGAAAAGTGGCGTTTCGTTTGGAAACGAAAAGAGACGATTTCGAAAAAAAAAAAAAAAAAAAGAAAAAAAAAACAGAGTGAAAAGCAGCGCAGCGTAGAAGGTAGAGCCGCAATGTGTGTCAAGCATGCACGTATATATCTCCTGTTGGTGGATCAACCTACAGCATGGCCGCGTAAAAATGCAGGACAACGGCAACGGTTTGTCGGAAGAGTGAGCAGGAATGTCGACGAGTCTGCTTCCTGTTGCAGCCCGAAAATTTACTCCTCGCAAGTAAGGCGAAGGGCGCGGCTGTGAAATTAGCGGACTTTGGATTGGCGATCGAGGTGCAGGGTGAAGCGCAGGCATGGTTCGGTAAGTAACCCTTCCTCCAATTTCGACGACGATAGAGATTCGAACGTGGCATTAATTTATTATTACGAATAATCGCGCGAAAATTGTGAAAATTGGAAAATGGATTTCCTTCCGTGATGCTTAAAAAAAAATTGAAAAGATCGTCGAGGATCAACGCAGAATCGATCGAATTCGATTTTTTTTTTTTTTTTTTTTTTTTTTACAATTTTTATACAATTGTACAATTAAAAATTGCGTGGATTTGGTAAAAATCGATGTTGATTTTTTCACTCGATCGTAAAAACTTGTAAGGATACTTGCAATTTCGATAATTTTAAATTCGCGTGTAAATTTTGAATTTAAACGTAATGTTATTACGAGTCGAGGCAAAAGGAAACGACAACAAACGGTCGACATTGATAATCAAAATATCGATTTCGTACGGAGTCGTGTTCCAAACATCGAGCGGAACGGACGTGTTTCTGTCTCCTCGTCGCGAAAGTAAGTCGTATTATCGTTTAATAAATTGATTTTGTATAAATATAATTATAAATTAATTATATAGTGACAATTGCGAATATTTTAAATAAAAAACGCGTTACGAGAAGGAAGGAGTACAGATACAACGATATATACATAAGCATAATATTGTTTATAATTTGCAAATATCGTTTTTCGAAATCGATTCAGATATATTATTATTTTTCTTCTTCTTCCCTTTTTCCGAGAAATGGAATAGATTTAGTGGAGAGAATAAATTCCACTATAATTTTTTCCCCCGTTTCGAAAAATATCGATGATGATTTGAAGTTTTCTGAGGAAGTATATAAGAAATATTCAAATATTCTTCTTCCTTTTTATTTTACGATATTTTTTGCGGTATTGCTTTAAAAAATTCAATTTCTTCGGATCAAGTGTTTCACGCGAACCGCATTTTAGATAAGATTGAATTTTTCAAGAATATTTCTCCCCAAGAGATATCTTGTCTTCCTCTCCTTTGAAAATTTTTTATTTCTTGATACGATGAATCCCTTTCGATTCATGCCACGAGCTCGATAATCTATGTCAAATAGCGTCGGAATAAAAAAAAAAAAAAAAAAAAAAAAGAGCAAAAAGTGATAGAAAACCTGGTTTACAGGTCGACGAATCGCCAAGGACTCGGTTTATTTAGAATCCGTTTGCATTTCCGCAATGACGTGAAGTTTTCCAGAAATAAAATTTCTTCTCTCCCTGTTTATCTCCTATCCCTCTTTTTTCGCTTTAACTGTGTTGCTCGCTCGAATTCGACGTCTCCCTTCATTTTCCCGATTCCCTTTTTCCCGCGTCGAACGCTGAAAAGGGGAACGAGTGTCAACGTGCAACGTTCCATTTGTGTAGGGTGTCCCAAAAAAATACAGAAACTTCACTAGAAATTGTCCAGATGATTTCCAACCAACTTTGCAAAAAATTTTCGTTTCAACTTCATCACATGTACAATTTTGTTCAAACAGATCGAACGACAATTGATAAGATATATAATATTATATATAATATTTTCCTCGATTCGACGATCTCTTGATATTTCGATATTTGTTTGTTCGAAACTCGATCGCATCTCGTACCCAACACTACCTTTAATTAATCCCATCAATAACTTAACGAAATCGAAACGAAAATTTTATTTTCGAAAGTGGAGGGAGGGGGGGGGAAGGAAATTATTGCTCGAAATCACCTCGATTTCCACCACATTTCCTACACATTTATGGAACACCCTATGCACGACGCGTCACGCCTTCCTCGACCGGGTGTTCCCGTTTGTTTTTACTTTGCTCGGAAAGTAGGAAGTCCTCCCTCCCTCTCCCCTCGTACTATTGGAAAAGTTTCCGCGTTTTCGCAGGCAAAATAGATTCCCCTCTCCCCACCCCACCTGGGAGATTTTCTGTATTGTGTTTGCGGTCAAAGAACCGTACCACGGCCCGGATCAAACCGGAAAATTCTGCGCTCCCTTTGCCCTCTGAGATTCCTCCATATTGTTCGGGAGATTGAATGTTGTTTTCCACGGATCTAACAATCGAGGTCGGATCGAGACGATGCGCGGTTGGAATAGTCTTCTCGCGTGTTTTGTTTCAAAAAAAAAAAAAAAAAAAAAAGAAAAAAGAAGGAAAATTGAAAAGTAGAGAAAAGTGTTCGAAACGAGTGTGAAAATACGTATTCGAACGTACGCATTTTCGTTCGTCGATTAATTTTTTTTGTTAAACATTTTATTAAACATCTTTTTCGTATTTGTAATGTTTGATGATAACGATTCGAGAAATATATCTTTATGTTTTTACTTAAAGATATAAATAAAAAAAGAAAACAGTTAAAAGGTAATTTAATTCTTCGTTGATTGAATTTTCCCTCCTTCGATTTTTAAAATAATATTTAGAAAGAGACGAGGGGGTAAAAAGTTGTATTTTTCTCTTGATAAATATATCGGGGAATATATCAACGAATCGAAATGATTTTGATGTCCGAGAATCTGTGAAACAACCTCCTTTTCATCCTCGACTCGTCTATCAGTTTGAAACTAGCTGATATTCGTTTCCGTTCTCGACAGCTCGAAATTCCCTCGACATTCTGATTTGGCCGGGGCCGTGGTTTCCGCATCATACGCGGGAAATTCGAAACTTGGATCGTAGAAAGTTCCAAGACTTAGTAATGGCCGACTCTGTGTGAGCCATAGTAGAAAATATAGTTAGCAACGAGATTAGCTTCGATTTTCTCTATTCTCGGGAAATTACCATCGATTTTCTTCGTTGCGAACCGAAATTTCCTCGTCTCAAACTTTTCTGTTCTTTTTAGAATTTTTTTTCTTCTTCAAAGTGCATCCAATATCGTCAACAGTTAAGAAAAAAATATCGTTTCCTTCGTTTAAACGAAATTTTTTTTTTTTTTTCTAACTTTTAATCTCAGGGATAAAATATTCCAATCGCTGAATCGTGATACAATTTGTATGGAAAATATTTGTAAAGTATTCACCAGTCCGTTATTTTCGAAATTATTTCGCTAAAATTTCGCGCAATATTCTCTTAAAATATTGCGAATACGATATTTAAATTTCTTACAATCTGTAAAGTAAAATATTTTATCCCACGAAAATTGCACTTTTATCAATTATTGTTGTAGAAAGAAAGAATTAAGAAAATTCCATCTAATATTTGTACGAAAAAATATACGTGGAGAGTGACCTCTGATAATCTCGTATAAAAAGGTTTCGCTGGGACGCCCGGTTACCTCAGCCCGGAAGTCCTCAAGAAAGAGCCATACGGCAAGCCAGTCGACATCTGGGCGTGCGGTGTCATTCTTTACATCCTTCTGGTCGGTTATCCGCCATTCTGGGACGAGGATCAGCATCGATTGTACGCGCAGATCAAGGCCGGATCGTACGACGTAAGAATCAGCTGCCTCTATCGAGTCGATTCCCTAAGAAATCTTCCTTCGATTCGATTGCGATCGACTTTTTATATCGTTCAATTTTTTTTTTTTTCTTTTCGAAAAATTCCTCTCCATTCTCGCTGCGGATTTGAAAGAAAATTTTTCTTCCTGTTGTTTAATTGTACAAATACAATATTATTTCAGAATTAAATTTCAGAATTATAATAAATCGAGTGTGTAATAAATTATTTATGGATCGATCGAAATTATCAATGATTTAACTTAATTCGAATAAAATTATATTAATAAATTAGATAAATAAAATAAATTAATTTCGCATTTCGATCGATCGACTTTTACATCGTTTATCGACGAATCATTCGTTTAATTTATTGGCGCAGTATCCAAGCCCAGAATGGGACACCGTCACGCCGGAAGCCAAGAACCTAATCAATCAGATGCTGACGGTGAACCCAAGCAAAAGGATCACCGCCAGCGAGGCATTGAAGCACCCATGGATCTGCGTAAGTGAAATCAATCTCGTGAAATTATTTATATATCACTTGAAAAACGTCTTCGATGATTAACGTAACAATTTTTCTTCTTCTTATTGTGTTACAGCAACGTGAACGTGTCGCGTCCGTTGTCCACAGACAAGAGACTGTGGATTGCTTGAAGAAATTCAACGCAAGGCGCAAATTAAAAGTAAGTACTAGATTTTCATTCCTCTTTATAAATAGACTCTTTTCAAGTCTTTTTAGATTCGAGAATTAGCATTCTTTTACTCGTACTCATATCATTTTATTCTTTGTCTTAAGATGTTACTGATAATCATATAATAAAATATTAGTTATTGTTAGATTATTAATTTTTACGTAGATAAAATATTTAATTAACATAGGCAAAATATGTCAAATTGTATAAAAAAAGCATGCTAAATTATATCCTTTATATTTTATATTTATATTTTATATCATTATAACAAACCGTTGCATTTATAATTGTAAAGTGACAAATGAAACTTTGATTTTTCATGTAAAAAAACGTGAGAAAAAATTAAAAATTTTATCATCAAAATCCATTTAAAAAAATAGAGGAAAACATGCCATTGAAATCCCTTTTTGTTTTATCCCGATATCTCAATTCGTTGCCGAGATATAAGGATTCAAAGCGGTCATACGTTTACAAAAATAATGAATGAGTCCGCGACCCAGTGACCTACATTTTTTTCCTGGAAATGCGTAGTAAGCAAGAATCGCGTCTGTCGCTCGTCTAGAGTTGGGATAGGTCAGTGAGGCGAGGTGCGAACGAGAGATCCGAATAAGAAACAAGAATAGAAATAGTAAACGATTAAAAATTACGTTTGTCTTTACACGACGATATCTTCGGAACCGGAAGTCGTATCGGGATAAACGAAAAAGCGTTTTAAAGGGGAAGGTTCCCCGCTTCTAACGATCGTTCACTCGTTCACCGGAAGTCGTTATCTTCGGAGTTATAGCGGTTCAAAGTTTTCCTAATTTTAATCGAGTTTAAGGTAAAGGATTAAAAATTACATTTTCTTTACGCGATGATATTTCGGGAACCGGAAGTCGTATCGAGATAAACAAAAAAGCGTTTTAAAGGGGTAGATTCCGCGCTTCTAACGATCGTTCACTCGTCCACCGGAAGTCACTATCTTCGGAGTTATAGCGGTTCAAAGTTTTTCTAATTTTAATCGAGTTTAAGGTAAAGGATTAAAAATTACATTTTCTTTACGCGATGATATTTCGGGAACCGGAAGTCGTATCGAGATAAACAAAAAAGCGTTTTAAAGGGAAAGGTTCTCCGCTTCTAACGATCGTTCACTCGTCCACCGGAAGTCGTTATCTTCGAAATTATAGCGGTTTAAAATTTTCTTAATTTTAATCGGATTTAAGGTAAACGATTTAAAATTATCCTTTTGCTTGTACGATGATATCTTGGAAACTAGAAGTCGTATCGAAATAAATAAAAAGGCATTTTAAAGAGCAAGATTCCGCGCTTTCAACGATCGTTCACTCGTTTACCGGAAGTCACTATCTTCGATGTTACAACCGTTAAAATTTTCCAAATTTTAATAGAGTTTAATCGAGTTCTAGATTACGCGATAAATAACGTTTATTAGAAAGAGAATTGATATAAAAGATTCTTCTTAATTCAAAATAATTTCACCTTTTTTCTTTTCCTTTCGAACAACCTCCAGTTTTTCAAAAAATTAATAAAATCCAATCGAAAACGTTTATATTTATATCGTAATAAAATTTACACTTAAAATTTTCTCTTTTCAAGATATTTGAAAAGAATAAAAATATAAAACAACCGATCAGTTCACATTTCCAATTTCTATCCAGTAGCACGAATAAAACGATAATATTACAGGAGGCTGTGTCCACGAAGGAGCAGTAATTAGAGGGTGGAATACGGTGTCGCGAGTTTCTCGATTAACAACGGAAATTCCGCCGGGCAACGTGTTGTAGCGGAACTCCGGTTAACTAGTTACACGCAAGTTTCGATTCGAGACGTCGAGTGTTAAGGTGCGCCAGCCCGTTAAATGATCTATAGTCGCTATGGGCCTCTGTCAGGATAAACCGATGTTTAGCGTTTAACCATCGGCTCCCATTTATACCTTGTGTAGAACTACGTGGCGAACTGGTCAGAGGAAACTCGAAATTGAGTTCGCTTTGTCTTCCACCTTACGTCACCATTTTCCTCATGATCCTCTTTTGCTACTGTGCGAACAATCGATCCATCTTCCTATCTATCAACAAACACTCGTACGTATTTTTTTCTTGTTTTAAATTTGAATCATAATTATTATTCGTTGTAAAATTACCCAATAACTTCGATATTTAAAAAAAATCATTCCTGATATTCAATCGTTTTACGCTTTTCAAAAGAAAAAAAAAAGATTATTATTTCAAATCTCTACAAAATTTACTAAATCTAGTTTCGCAGATATATAAAAATCGCACAATAAAATCCTTATTTCTGATAATTATTCACCGATAATAATAATAATAATATTTCACACAAAAATTTATTTCACTTTTAAACGGGGAAAAAAAGAAAATCGGAATCGGTTTGGTTTTTATATTTTTTAATCAACATTCGAAAATCTCGTTTCACATCTCGCCCTTTCAAAACACATTCGCGATAACGAAACGCGTGAATTGGAAGTGGCATAGGCCCCTTCTTCGATTGGGAATTGGTGGATTTCCTACTCCCCTACCTAAAGTCTCTTGGTCGACTATCGCGATTCCAACTGTTGCGAGCAGTGCCGCTCGAATTGTCGTTCGAATCGTGTGCGTTCGAATCAAGTGCGATATGGACGTTGCTGGCATCGAATAAAAACGATATAGTTATTCGTTGAGTGGATCGTTGTGTGTACGGTGTCGAATATTAATATCGGTGAAATTTTCTTTCACCTCGATGATCGCGTTTCTGACCTCGTGAAAAGGAGGGAAGAAGTGTTCGAGTGTCGATTAAAACGTGATTTTTTTTCTTTATTTTATCTTATTTATACAGCTTGTAATTTTTTTTTTTCGTTTCATTTTTTCCTTTTTCTTTTTTCTTAATGTATATAAATAAGATAATGGTAATAATTGGCGTTTAGCAATTTAGTTGATCGAGGGAGGGTCATTATTTTGTTATCTTTGTCATTAAATATTTTGTACCGTAGATGGATTTGCTTTTTTACGTTTTCATTATAATTTTATAATTCGTGTTTAATGAATTAATTTTTCATACGTTGAGGAAAATTGGAAGCGAATGAGATAATTCTATTTCATTTTTATTCTTCTTAAATTCTTAATCTCTGTCAAATTATAAATTGTTATTTTACTTGTCTATCGTTACTTTTCACAAATAAAATAATTAAAAAAGAAGAAGAATTAAAGGGAGAATTAATCAATTGTAATTCCAATTGTAGAAATTTAATACATCATTGTTACGCATAATTATATCATGGAAGTGAAAACAAATATTAAAATACGTTGCTTTTTACATTCAAAGTTTACATTTATTAAATTCGCATTCTCAAAGATTCCAAGTCCATGTTAACCAAGAATCAAGCAACCAATTATTAATCCACCAATGTGTGTAAATAAAATCCCCTTGGAACCCTTTTTTTCGTTCGAAAATCTCGATCTTATCCGAAGAACGAACCATTCAATCACGCGATCGTTCCATTAAACCGAAACGCAATTAACGCTCGAATTTAATATTACATTTGGAAACGGACGAAAGTTTTTCGTGCGTTACTTCTTTGGTGATTCGTGACGGTGGTGGTTCAATTAAAGGAACGCGTTTCCCTCGATGGCATTAATAACGATTTCGTGACCGAGAGAGCAATCACGTTTAATGAAATCGTTGGTTGTGCGACTTGGTGATTAGGATATTGGCAATTAGAGGAGGGTTATTGATGCCATTTCGGTTTCTTTGCTTAGGATCGAGTATAATTAAGTAATGGTATAACGAAAGGTGGATCATTAATCGAGCTAATTTAGCTTGAGAATTGGCAGTTAATTCTCTCTTTAATTCTTCTTTTTTAATTATTTTATTTGTTTAATTTAGGGAAGATCTTGTTGTGTAATAACGTTGGAAATAATAATAATTGATTTAGATATTAGATATGGAAATATATTTAGTTCCCTAATTTATTTGGAATTATCTCCAATTCCATTCCAAGAGACGTTATTACCATTATTACCTTTCGTGATCTTTCGTGCAAAATGTAATGGAAATCGTGTATTGAGATTAAAAAATTACTGGAGTTGGAATTTTATCGAAGAGAGAAAGTGTGCCGAGAGTGTCAAATATGAAAGCATTGAAGAATAAATTCGGATTGTGCAGGCAAAAGGAAGCCACCGTTCCATTTGAGGTACCCATATCCTTTTACCAATCATTAATCGTTAATTCCACCTTAAAATTTAAAAAGAAAAAATTGAAACGAACATCAATAGGACGTGACAAAAATCTAAAGTTCCTTGCAAGAAAATTTCAAAAATTGTTAAATAACCGATCGAATGTTTTTAATTTTCAAAAATTTTCGAAACAGGATCTTCAAACTTAAAACATTGAAGAAATAGGAGAAGGGAACGGGGGATAGGAAAAGCCAAGTTCTTGGCTCGAACAAGGATTATTAAACGACGAGTTGTTCAATCTCCACGAGTTTGTTCAATCGTCACGAGAACTGTCGAAGCTGGAACATAGTAATTCCATTCTATCTTCCCTCCCTCCCATTTTTCATCGCTGAAAAAGAAACACTCGAACTTGTAACCAATCCTCTGTCAGACTTTTCTCCTTTCCTCACTTTTTCTTTTTGCTTAGTTGTTAATGTAATTCACACACGTAGACGCGTGTAGACTCTTCTAGAGATCAAAATAAACATAAAACTTTGTCTCGAGCTTATCTATTATACACGATCGAGGTTTATAACGACGCACTTTCCTTTGATAAATAAACCTCAACCGATATTTTTGTTTTAGATCCTCGAAAGGTATATAATCTCTTGTTTTCCTTTGACGACGAAGAAGGGAATTGCTTTTAGAAGATTTTCACGCGTTAATTACGAGAGATCGATTTTTAATTCTAACCACGGCGAAATTATTACTCGGATTATGGCGATGCAATCAAAGAGAAGAGTATTTTTCACGAGTAAGAGTAATTCTCTTTCTGGATGGATTTCTCGATGAAAGGAAGAGATAATGGAGAAAATTTTTCCGTCTCCAAAAAATATTAATGCGAATGTTTCACGATTTTTTTTTTTTTTTGATAAGTTTACGGATTTCGTGGAATTTGAATTTTTTTTTTTAACAGGAGTAAATATGTTGCTCTAATTTAACATATTAGATTATCCATCGTTTCGAGAGAAATTGTTATTTCGAAATACCGATACGCAATACAGGCAGAAATGAAATTGGGAAAAATTTGAAATTCGTGGTTTTATTTGGATTTTCGAAGAATCGTCAGAATTCATGGATCGACAACATTTCGAGAAGAGTTAAATACGCTTCTGTAATTTAAATGTCACATTTGCTTTTCACTTTAACCGAAATAATTGGTTTACATAAAAGTTAATGTAATTCTGTATACGTTATATTCACGGTTTCACGAATATTTTACAATTAATATCTTTTGTATCTCGCATCGAGGGAGAAATGTTAATTTAAACGAATGTATATACTTATTTCATGAAAAAAAAAAAAAAAAAAGAATCACAGAATACATTTATATACGTATATACGTAGAGGAAAATAAAGCGTGAGTATAATTACATGGAAAATTTAATAGTTTCATACTTTAACATTTACGAATCTCGAATATTTCGTGAAGAACAATCTAGAATAAATACAATTTTCAATCAAAGATACAACGAATTGCAACAATTGGAAGCTTAGTTTATTCATTTAATCATAAAATATAACGAGAAATCATAAAGGATAACGAGAAGAAATTTATTTTTTTTCAGAAATGAATTTGTTTCTAATTTTTTTTTTTTTCTTTTTTTTCTTACGCAGAAAATTAATACTTGAAACGATCAATGCGAGTTTCGAGGATTATTTTCAACATAATATTTTCCATGTATATTATAATCCATTGAAATTAATCTTGAAGAAACGTAGTTTCGTTTCAACAACTACTCCTTATATACTTTTTGCTCGAAATGTACTCGGACAAAAGAAATAAAAAAAAAAGAAAAAGAATTCAACGCACATACGATATCACATCGCAACAGCGCTCCATCGAGTTAATCCGTGGAAATTGTTCCAATTAAACGAATTGGAATTGATTCTCGTTTATCACACGCGCGGTCCGTAGCCTTACGATTTGTAAAGAAACGGTGCTGTGCATGAATATTTAATAGGGAAGATGGAGGAGGAGGAGGAGGAGGAAAGAGGGGGAGCCTCCATTACCAGAACCGTATTTTGATAATCGAAATTTAAATACACGCCGCGTGCGTGTCACGAAAATAGAAACGTGCCTTTAATCGAAATCGATTGTTCTGCGGGCAAATATTTGTCGTAAATATTTTCTGGATGCTCGACCGATAACGTCGGACGCGATGTATCGACTCTTATTAGCGATGTTTGCTTTACCTCATTCGTATTTGCCGCCAATTCTACGCGTATCCGTTTTCGAGGAGGAATTCGTCCCTTCGTTGTAATTTTAATCTAATTTTGTTATTTCGTCGTTTGATTCGCAGGAATGAACGTATATTTAATTTTCATTGTGGAGAGACTTCGCGTTGATGCTCGCGTAAGATTTTCGAAGGATCGAATTTGTATGAATCTGCGAAATGGATTTATTTCTTTTTCCTGCAAGAGGAAGAACTTGTGTAAGAGAAAATCATATTTCTTCATTGTTATTCGAATATGTGTGGCGAGGAGTATAGTCGAAGGTCATTTGCAATATCGTTCAAGGTCAATTGTTACGCATACGTGGATATCAATTCCTCAAAAAAAAAAAAAAAAAAAAAAAAAGAAAGAAAGAAAAATTCAAAGAGAGAGAATATAATATCGAAATATTCATCGTTAAAAAAGTACATTCCACGGAATGGAAGGAATCTTTTTTTATATCAAGTTCTCATCTTTATTATATTATATCCTGAGGATCTTCTTTGAAAGAGTAAATTCTAAATTCAAACGAACGCAAAACAAAGAAAGTGGAAAGATATATTTTACGCATTTTTTTTTTTTTTTTTTTACAAGTAATTTAAATTTGCGTTAAACGAAGCGATACAAGAACGATATTACGAAATGTAGATTTAAAAAAGACTTAAACGCGAACGAGCGCGAATTCTTATACGCAATATATGTAAAGAGAGAGAATAAATAAGCAACCTCATTTGCTCATAAATAAAAATAAGAAATCGGAAGGATGATCTCTAATCGATTTCCCCTCTCTACTACTATCCGCACGAGTCGTCGAGTAATCACGTAGGTAGCGATTAAAAGAAGAAAAAAAAAAAAAAAGAAAAGAAACCAATATTCCATCTTCAATTTTCCCAATATATAAATTGAAATTATCGAGGTATATATCGAGTTGGAGAACGTGCATAATGAAAGATGCCCATCTGGCGGAACTCGAGTAATAATAATAATAATAATAATAATAATAATGAATAATATAATACAAACCGTGTAATATTATCCGCCTCTTTTATCTTTTAATGCCACGAAGGACACGATCTCGATGCAATATCGCGCGACACGAGGCGTTTAATTTATAGATAAAAGACGAATCTTGGAGGGAGGGAGGATTATAAACGGTCAATTGTTAATTCCACCTTTGGAATATTCATCTTTGTAGAATAGAAGGTGGAATTGTCGTCGCGCGGGCAGATCGAGAGAGTCTAAAGTTCGGTCGACGTAATAACGTGCAATAGCGACGACCGGAAGTGCCATCAGCCACGTACAAAGAAGCCGAGTTGAACGAGGCTTCGGTTTCGTTTGTATGTGTGCGTATGTGCCCGTCTCGCGCGCGTGTACAACACGTGTGAATCGTTCGAGAGATTGACGAAACGTTCGTGATTCGCAATATTCGAAAATCTTTCAACGCCGAGCTTTGAAGTTTCTCTTTTGATATTGGACGATATTCGAATCGAGAGACAGGGTTAGTGATATAGAGTCTTACGTAAGTAAGTAAATTTTCGTCGAATTTCACGCGTAGTATAGAAACGCTCGTTATTTTAATTCGATTCAATCTGAGGACGAGTATCTACGATTCAAAGTAGCGTGTCTGAAAATGTTTCTCGAATGGTATCTGAATGATAGATACTCTTCTGAAATTCTTGGTTAGGTATTATTTAAAGATAAGGAAACATTTTCATCGTATATTACGTTGAATTATAAAAGTAAAGACGTGATAGATAAAATTATTATTATTTTTCGGTGTGTACTATTATCAAAGATGATGATGGTGATTAAACGAAGGCATTTGAAATTTTTAGCCTTCCTTAAGAATTCAATTATTCCAATTGTTCGAAATATAAATTTTACACATTATTCGTGATAACACGATTGGATCGTGATGGAGTTGGTAATAATAAATTATTGCGCGAGAATGAAATTAATAGTATTTGGTGATTTCTTCTTCCTTGCTTTTTCTCGGAAATTTGCGTAATTAGAAAAAGTGAAATTTATCGTCGATTATCAGCTGAGATAAGCGGTAAGGATTGGGTTACGAGTACTTGTGCGTATTCCTACTTGGATTTCGTTCGTTCTCTCGTGTTTCTCAATTCTGAAGCATCGAAAATGCTTACAGCGCGTTATTTTAGAAGTGTTTCGCTGATTCGGTCATGTTTTAACGTATCATCTTGATAAAGTTTCTCAAGAAAAACGCGAAATTAAAGGATATATATATATATTGTATTATTATCTCTAATTCCAAATCTATTATTCAGAACCAAGTACACGATAATAAATAAAGAAGAAACAAAGGGATTAGAATTGATTAATAAATGAAGCAATGAAATTTCGAAACAAATTTTGAACAAAGTTCATTCTCGGGCGATTAACTTTTCGTCCAATATGTCTGGGTTCCCTTGGCCGCCCGAGAGTTTAAACAGAGTCGTTATTTCTTGCTTCCTTCGCTCTCGATTAAGATGCAACATAGAATAATCCGTGGCCTGTACTCTTTTCTTGTCCGCAGGGCGCTATTCTGACGACGATGTTGGCGACGAGGAACTTTTCCAGTAAGTATGATGCACAGGGTAAGTACCTCCGGCCCTCTTCAGCGCTTCATGGACCACGACAGACAGTACTTTTATATCTCCCATTAAATTTTTACGCCCAACCCCCTCCCCCTTGTGTCTCTCTCTCTCTTTCTCTCTCTCTCTCTCTTCTCTCTGACACACCCTCTGTCTCTTTTTAACCACCACGTCTCCCTCGATTTTATATCTCTTTCTCTCTCTTTCTTTCTCTTTCTATGACTTTCTACGACTTTCTACGTAATTCTGTCTTTTTCTCTACTTTATATATATATATGTATCTTTCTCCAGAATTCATAACCCATAAAAAAAAGAATACCCACCTCGACTCTTCATCCCATGTTTTCTTGTTAATAAATTCTCCTTCTTCTCTTGTATATATATATATATATATATATGTATACATATATATATATATATATATATATATATGTATTTACATAAAGGATCTGTTCATCAGCCCTTTCGTTTTTTTCAAGAGGTGCTTCACGACGTGGCCAACCGCGTACTTTTATTTCGCTTATTAAGAGACCCACTATCTACCTTCAACAACTCGAGTCACAACGCAATCCCCTATCCCTCTTTGTCTTCGAGGGACGGAAACGCGAGTGTTTACGAGGCGTGGTTGACAATGGCGGGGTTTAACCAAGGGACCGAGGTGTTACGCACTGATTTTCTCGTGGAACTCGAGTTTTCGTGGACGAAAAGAAGAAAAAAAAAAAAAAAAAAGAAAAGGGTAAAGGGTGAAGGATACTTAACGAAGTTGGGGACAAAAAAATGGTCGAAAAGTGGGCTCTATTTCTAAAAGGGCTCTATTTCTATTTCTCTTTTTGCCTGGAAGGGAAATAACTGTTGTGCTTTATTCTCTGTATGTTTTTTCTTTTTTTTTTTTTCTTTCTTTCTTTTAAGTTTCTTACGATGAAAATACGACGAAATTAGATGGAAAAAAGAAAGAGGAATTTTAAATTCGTTAATAAGATCAGTGTACAACGCCTCGTACAATTCCTCTTCGTATTTTGTTTTAAGAAGTATTTATTTCAATTAATGGTATTCATTGATAAATTGATTAATCGGTCAAGATGGCGAGACGAAATTCTGAAAATGATCCACGAGGTGAAGCACCAGATATCATTCCTGCTCGTGCACCAAACGAATTAGAGAGCCATTAAATTTCGTTTATCCTTGTAAAAAATCAGGAGACAAACCGAGCAGCGAGGTGAAATTTATTCTTTTCTTGATTCGTATCCTCATCGACGTCCATAAAATTTGATGATGCCATCTTCTTTCAAAAAAAAAAAAAAAAAAAAAAAAAAATCCTCACGATTTCAATCAAATCTCTTTCTCTATATATATTGTCGCTCATTCGACAAATTTCATCCTCGCTTGCTCCGATTTAATTAATTAACAATCATGATATATTCTCATTTCACACGTCGTGAACTATACTCATAGTCGATGCACTTGGCTCGCACCTCATATCCTGCAAGGACTGTGCTGCGTTATCCAGAAATTGCATCGTGTTAATGTCTCTCTTAGAATGACGATCGTATCCATTTCCCACCCTCCCCCCTCCCCCCTTTTTAATACAATTGAAAAGAGGACGACAATATCAGCATTGGAAAGTTCTGGGTAACGCGAATCGTCGTCACAGTGGACTCAAGCAGTTTTCTCCTCATCAAAGATCATCAGATTCATGCTTCGAAAATTCGCATTATTATTCCCCCCCCCCCCCCCCCAAAGTAAAAAAAGTTGGATTGGCGGAGTGTCAAAGTGTCTCTTTGGACAATCGTGGAAAGGAATAGTAGAAGTAGAATATCGTGCAATGATATGTAAAACGAGATGTAGAAAAAAAAAAAAAGTGGATCAGCGAGGAATCGTCGATCATATTCATTCATTTTCATCAGTTTGTTTCTTACGTTTTTTTTTTCTCTCTCTCTCTCTCTATCTCTGTATCTCTCTTTCTCTCTCTTTCTTATGAATCGTTTCATTTATGAATCGATATATATTGGATTTTAGGACGAGGAAAAATTAATTTCTTTACTCTTTTTAATCCACGATTTATAATTTGCATTTTATCGTTGAATTGTTAAGTTGATTAATGCAATTTTAATTTGTATTTCTATGCGCAATGTACAATTGGGAATACAAACTAAAACGAAGAGTCTCTGTGAAATTAAATTTTTAATTCGAATTTTTAGTAAGAATCCGGGAAAAATTTTATTTATTTATTTATTTATTTTTTTTAAATGTTCTCTTCTATGAATTTTTTTGCTTATAGCAATATTGGTGTGTCGTATTTAAAAAAAATTTTTAATTCGACCGATCTTCCTTCGCGAAATTCGTTGGATATGAAAACACAATACAGAGGAGGGAGCTATAATATCCGTTTACCGTGTATATCGTGTAACCGTATCGTGTAACAACTGTTTAGGTCCACTGACGAATAACGCCTACGAATGATTATTGTGCGTTTAGTATTGCTGATCACTCTGTAGCGCCTCTATTCTATCAACGAGAAATCGGCGAAATGCGAGAAACACGCAACACCCGTGCCCCACTTTTTTTCC